GCTTATTTTTTTTTCTGTTTTTTTTTTTTTTTTTTTTTTGGGTAGCCATTCAAAGATCGTTGCGAATGGTTCTATGAACATTTGCATTCAGGACAACCTGATTCAGACATGGTACACAGGCCAGTGAATGAAAATGATATTCTGTTGGTTCACAGAGGTATGTTTAGCAAAGAAACTAGGATATATAAAAGGTATGAAGTACTTGTTATTGTAAAGTTTAATATGTAAAATTAACCAGTACTACATATTTAGATTCTATTTTTAGGAGTAGCTGTGAAGTTGTATCAAAAGCAAATTGTGCAAAGTTAAAGCAAGGAATTGCTGTACGGTTCCATGGAGAAGAAGGCATGGTAGGTATAAAAATAAGTGATGTAGAAATCACTATATATAAACAATGGAAACATATTTGATTAATATTTAATATTCAATTAATGAGAGGAAATTTAGTATGATTTTAATTTTGTTATTAGTTGGAAAAAATTTCCCATTGTATTGGTATTGATGATAAATTTTATTTTCTTGAATTCAGGGTCAAGGTGTTGTGCGGGAGTGGTTCGATATTCTGTCTAATGAGATAGTCAATCCTGATTATGCATTGTTTACCCAGTCAGCTGATGGTAAGTTGAATGGTCTGTACTTTTTCTGTGACTTTTCATGTTTTTCAAACTACTTCATTATCATTTATCTTTCACCCCACAATCATCCTGTTAACCAGATGGGGAGTTAACATGTTATAGAAGAGAAAACTGAAATTCAGAGTTTTTGTCTGCATTTACACAGCTGATGAATGGTAGAATTATAAATGGAACAACTCAGTCTAATATTCCATTTTTTTTTTAAGAGTAGGAAAAAGTTATTGAGGGAAAGAAAGCTTCTGTCTGAGGCAGCAGGGGGACCAGATAGTGGGCTGCCCCTCAGTCTGATATTCTTTCCTGTAAACAGGTGGTTTTTAAATGTTTGTTTCAAAGTCTAATGCTGGCCATGAAGACATTCTTATCAACCCTTTGAAATTTATTCACTTTAAGCATTGTCCTTTAGTCTCCTTTTTCTGTTGTTGTTGAGTAATATTTTCTTTTATAAAATAGTGTTGCTAGTAAATGGACTTAAAAAAATTTGGTAACCCCATTTGAGTTTCCAAGTCTTAAAAGCTACAGTTGAACAGTTCTTTTTGTGGAAAACAGTGTTTGCGATCTATAGACTTGTAATTTGTTCTTGTAGATGATATGTGAATAATTACCACCTCATTTTTCTGAGGTATATTTGAGAGATTTTTGAATTAATACTTCCGTTTAAAGTGATGGTTGGATTTCACTTTCAGATGTTTTGAACAGTTGCCTGCTTTTCCTGAAAATATTTACTTTCCTTAGACATATTTTCTTTCCCCCGTAGCTTTTTAAAAATGGTACTGGGGCTTGAACCCATGGCTCATACTTACCTAGCAGGCACTCCGCCACTGAGATACATTGCTAGGCCCTTTTCCCTAGTGTTTACATTCTTTTATAGGAAAAGAATACCTTACCTTTATTTTTCCTTGAATCTATTTCATTAGATTTACCCGTTTTTCTTTCTTGTAGCCTCAGTATATAGCATAAGTTCATTATATATTTGTAGAATAAATGAGTAAATTTATAATCCAAGTTACTGATTATCACAGAAAAAGGAAGGAGAGTTCAACTTGAGATGTTAACATTAAGTTTTTCTATTGCACTGGATTGTAGTAAAATATATGACATAAAATTGACATTTGTAAATGTTTAAAAGAGTATACTATGGTGGTATTAAGTACAGTACATACAGTATACTAGGCAACCATCACCACTAATTTCACAACTTTTTCATCAGCTAAAGAAGAAACTGTTAGGTAGTAATTCTTCATTTAACATTCTTCTAACCTCAAATTACTAATCTACCTTGAATATATAAAAAATATTGCCTATTCTAGATACTTTGTAGAAGTAGAATCATAGTTCATGGCATTAGGTTTTAACAGTAATCATTAACTGTTAACCCTTGCCTTTTTTACTTTTACCTCAGTAACAATTTTTACCACTTAATTATTTGTCATATGGAAGAATTGATTTGTAGACTTAGGTAGTTTTCTTATCATTGTTAATAGGTATCAAGTTCAGTGATGAAGTCTATTAATGACAGTTGCACATTTGAAATTTTTAGTTTTCCTTAGAGTGTCCTATTACTTAATAAACAAAATCTAAGGAATACCTACTATAGGCATATATAGATGAATGAGACAATATTTACCTTAATATATAGCTTTGTAGTTACTTTACATGCTTAGGAAAGTGTGTGTGTGTGTGTGTGTGTGTGTGTGTGTGTGTGTGTGTGTGTGTGTGTGTGTGTGTGTCTGTGTGTGTGTAGGTATGTATGTGTGTTTATTAGTTATATTTACTATATTTTTCCAGGGTTTCTCTGACATTCTTCCAACTATTTTTAGTCAAAAGTATTGTACAGTTTTCTGTCTGCACACTGACTTTTCTCTAATAAGTATATGTGGATTACAGGTTATCTTCTGTCTCTCCTATTTCTACTGCCTGTTTGTGTATTCCACAAAGAATATTCCTCTGGCAGCTTCTATAATGAACCTTAGCTTTGCTAAAATTGTATGTGAATTAATTTATGTATACTGAAATTATCCATCTTCTTCGTGTGGATTTTTAAGAATAAACTATTTTGTACTTATTTTAATAGGAACAACTTTCCAGCCCAATAGCAACTCCTATGTAAATCCTGATCACTTGAACTATTTCCGATTTGCTGGACAAATCTTGGGATTAGCCTTGAACCATAGGCAGCTGGTCAATATTTATTTCACACGATCATTCTACAAGCACATTCTTGGTATGGTTCTCTCATTATTTTCATAGACACCTATTTACGTAGTCTTTTTTACAGCTTTTAAGGGAAAACTAAGTAGATTAGCAGTGGCATTCTGGATGAAATTATTTTTGTTTGGAGACCATCTATGTTTCTAAGCTATTTGAGGACTAGAGGGAGAAAAAAAATGACCTACTTAAAAAAACTTCTGTCCCAAAGTTCTGTTTTCCATTTTAGTGTATATGTTTAGGCAAATAATACATTTTAATATGGGTATACTTAAGGTAATTGGCACTTCTGAAGTTTATAGAAGCTCCCTTAATAGCTGTGAAGATGTGGAAGAAATGTAGGCTTAATTTAATAAGCTTCCAAATTTAGGAACATGGTGTGAACTGGATTATGTTTTGCAGTTTTCCAGAGTTTCTGTAGAGGGCAGTCTTTTACCATTAAACAGACAAAGGCAGTGGCTTTTAGTGCATAACTGCTATGTTTTTGCATCTTTTAGGTATTCCTGTAAATTATCAAGATGTGGCATCAATTGATCCAGAATATGCCAAAAATTTGCAATGGATTTTAGATAACGATATTAGTGATCTGGGTCTAGAACTAACTTTTTCTGTTGAAACTGATGTGTTTGGAGCAATGGAAGAGGTTCCTTTGAAACCTGGAGGTGGAAGTATTCTTGTGACACAAAGTAACAAAGTGAGTACTTGAATTTTCACCTTAGCCATTGTTTTTAGCTTGGCCCCCCTGAAATAACAAAACTACCAAATACCAAATTTTGATTTAGAAAATATTTCAATATTGTACTGGTTCTGCTGAGATAGTTTCTAAAGTAACATTGATATTCAGTTGATTGTATAAATTGGGCATTTGCATTTTGAAAAACTTGATTACAAATAAGTTTAATCCAGATAATATTTGCAGCAATCACTATTTCATGTTTTAAGTGTAATATTAAAGTGTTCTAGTAGGGAAAAGAAATCCCAATGTTTAAGCTTTGTGTACATGCTTTTGGGTTCTCATATATCAGTCAGATCTCTTGGCTTTTTACTTTATCTACTCTATGCATATTATTATAGTCTTGGTACCTGTATTTATTTTCAATTTTCCTGATGAAAATCATAATGTGTCTTTATCATACAGTTTTATTTTGGTATATTTTGAAGGATCTCTAGATTTAGAAAATCTAGTTTGGAATTCCATGTCTATTACTTACTGTTCTTTCTTTAGTTGCATTGTAATTTCAAGACAGCTTCATAATCAACTAACTATGAAAGTCTATTAAAACATTTTGTAGACTATAGATTTAGTAGAACAGGGATTATTATTATTAGTATTATTGTTTTTTTGGTACCGGGGGATTGAACTTGGATCCTTGTGCTTGCAAGGCAGGCCACCGAACTACTGAGCTAAATCCCCGGCTTCTTCTTTTTTTTTTTTAACCAGGGATTATTTTTAAAAGGATCAAAAGACTTGATCATGTTAGTGTGTGTGTGTTAGTGTGTGTGTGTGTGTGTGTGTGTGTGTGTGTGTGTGTGTATGTGTATGTATACATATGTGTGTGCTTTCAGTTCTGGGGATCAAGCTACAGCCTTAGGTGTACCGGACACGTACTCTACCATTGATCTACACCACCATTGCAAGACTTAATTGCCTCTGAACAGATCTTTGAGCATCAATTTTCTATTCTGTAAAATTGGGATAAAAATACCTCCCATATGAAAGTGTTATTAACATTTTATAAAATGAAAAACTGTAAAAGTTACTTTTAGATAGTATTCTGTAAAAATAGGTTTATATGTAGGTTTCACATATATAATGGGAATTGGAAACCTATTGAAATACATAAGTTTACATTTTGAAACATATGTACTACATATATATAAAAAATGAAGTTCAGTTATTGGAAATAAGAGCTGAGCATTACTCATCTATACCTAGAAGGTTTTTAGCTGGCTCTTTGATTTTGTGCATAAGGACACTGAAGCCAAAGTGTTAATGGCAAAACAGTGGTGCCGAAGCTCAGGTGTTCTGACTTTAAGTCACATGTTCTTCATACTGAATGCAAAATTAACCACATTAGGGAAGAACTTAGCTTGATTTTTAATATAATGAACCATGTTAAGTTGTAGAAGATGGAAATAGTAAGATGCTTAAATTAATTTTTAAATCTTGTTTGAGTGTAATGGTAAAATATTTTTAAAATCTTTAATTGCTAAATTGTTCATCTTGCAATACATTTATTTTATTTTGCAGGAGGACTTACCCTCAGTTAAGAGTAATGAAGTTATAGAATCTTTATTAAACAAGTGATTGCTTTTCGAGAAAACCATAAACATGACCCTTATATGTAAATACTATATATTATAAGTAGATTTGTCACTCCTTTTAAGTATATTTAATATAACAAAGCAGAACAATTCTTTGGCAAGTCTGTGATATATAGCTATATTTATATTTGTATATCCTACCAATCCCCTCCCACTATGACATGAATTTTGTTTAGATTTTTAGAAACACTTACTTTAGTAGGTCTTTTGCATTTGTGATTGCTATTGAGATCTGGAAAGAATGAAGTAATAAATAATTATAAATAAGATGCTCACATTGAAGTTGTACCCTTTATTGTGAATCTTGTCTTAGGCCAGAATTTTATGGTAATATTAAAAAGCTTGAAATGTTTTTCAAAGTGGAATATATTTTTGTATAACTGGTTGCTTGCAGGCAAATTTTAATGATTAGGCTTGATTATAGCAGGTGTCAATCATTAATATGTAAATTTTCAACTTTTATTTTTCTGATAAAAACATTTCTCACAATTAGTTGAGCCTTTTGAATTCTAACATTACCAGTCAAAGCCAAGTATAATTGTGCTATTACATTGTTGTTTAAATTTTTTTAATGCCTCATTTACTTTATTTGAATACATCTTGAAAGTAGTAAATTTACATATCAAATGAAATAATAAGCTTTTAATAAAAGTACAAAAGTAAAAAGGTTTTAGAAGTTTCATTGAATAGAATTTGTATGCAATCATAGCTTTCCTGATATTGAAAATATGGAGTCTTAATGTCAAGAGAAATTTTTAAATCTTTTGTTTTTAGTTACATTCTTATTGCAACTCAGTGTATTATAAAATGCTTTGAAATATCTAATCCCTTTTTTAAAAAATGGAACTTAACATAAAAATAATCAAATACCATTAGAATGTTGAAATGTAATACTTTTTAAACCTTAATTTTTGGTCAGCATAAATTTCCTTTATATTTGCATTTATGGTAGGATTTTGTTTTGAGGTTTAACTAATCAGGGGAGTATAAAGTTTTTAAGTCATTTAAGATGAGAATAGACATGTGGAAATTAACTTAAAGTTAATTTTCTTTTTCTGTAAAGCCTACCTCTTCATCATCTTCTGTATGTTGATCCTTTCTTAATTGACAGGCAGATATACCTGTCCTGTTCCAGACATATCCTTAGCTGACAGTGCTCGCTGAAGAGGAGACTTTGAATTTGCTTTTGCAATATCTAAATGAGATGGATAATCTAGTGGATACAGAGAATTTCGGGAAATCTCTAAATCTTCATCCTCATCAGTATTTTATATATTTTGGTAGGCAGCAGTGTAGACCTCTAAAACTTTGCCATGAAATAACATTTCAATTGTGATAAATTCTGAAAATACATTCTTGATATCCTTTATTTTTTGCTTTTCAAAATTGTCAATAGTTTCCTCTAGATGATGAGTTGTTTGGGTAACATCTGTTGAAGCTATGTGTAATTCAGCTTCTGCCTGTGAAATTACATGTAGATCAGATGGGTTTCGTTGATGAGTTCTGAGTTAACTGCTTAGCTTCTCTGTTCCTTGCTGCTTTGAGATCATCCCATTTCAATTTTACAATTGCTCCATAAGCTTTGAAAGGTTCAATAACTCTGGCTTCCAGTCTTCCAACCTCTGTTTGTTGATAATCCTGAAGTTTGGCAAACTCATCAGCGAAATTTTTCAGGCCTTACTTTAAATTTGGGGTCTCTGTAGAGGCATACATGTTAATTTCACTCACCAGGAGGTCTGCTTTGTCTCTCAGTCTGGCAGTTTTCTTCTGCACATAAGCAGCAAAGATTTGGCACAGCTCCCCAGTATGGTTCTCCACATTTGTGACAGCATCTTGCAGTTGTCTGGTTTGAGCGTCCCAAACCTCTGGTCTCCAGCCTTCCAGGTAGCTGTGAGCAGAGCAGAAAAAGCCAGTCGGCCAGAACCAGGAACAAGATGTGAACCCGAAGGTGAACCGGGTCCGGGCTCAGCTCCATCTACTGGCATGCTTGTCTGTGTGCTTCTCGAAGCCGAATCCCAGATTTTCCTTGAACACCCATGTCCTTTAGCACCCCTTGGAATATTTGAGAGCTGCTTTTCCGAGCAAACCAGGTCAACATTCAAGTTTTATCGATCTCATTCAGGCAGCCTAGGTGCCTTTTGCCTGGAATATACTGTTGATTTTATTCTGTCTCCTTGAGTTCTTTCAGGTAAAGGAAAAAAATCTGTTGTTTAAATGTTTAATGATCATTTAATGCGCAACCTGATTCATTTAAAACTTTAGAAATATACCACATTTTTACAGGTCTCTTGACTTAAAATTGTATTCAGTTTATAAAATGTTAATTTTAAAATTTCAAACTTTTTCTTAGAAATATCATTATTCTTTTCTCATACATTCTACCATGAATTTGTCTGTGACTTTGGACTAGCCAATTATTTATTTTAAGTATAAAGTTGAAGTTGTTAGGTCTAATTAAGCTTTATAATTTTAAACATAATTGAAACTTAAATGAGTTAAGAAACTTGTTAGAATGAGAAGGTCTGTGTAAGCTGATTTCCACACAGTGGTGTCATTCATTCCTAATAGCCTTTGTTAAATATTGAGTGAAACCAAACAGATGAAAATAATATAACCTTTTATTTTATATGCAGCATATTAAGTAAATACAAGTAATACAAGCAGAACATAAATTCACATTTGAAATATAAAATGACCTTTTAAATTTAATTTTTGTATTTGTTACTGATTTGTTTTAAAATCTAGGAAAAATAATCATAGTGTCATTTTTGAAAATGACTGAATTACTAGGAGCTAAAAATTTAGCATTTAAATAGATTTTTATCTTTTTAAGAAGTTTTTATTTCACAATTCCCGACTAAAAGCTATAATCCTAGGGCCACAAATTCTTGAGTTACATATGACCCATTTTTCCCTTCCATGATCTTCAGTTGCAACTCTTAGAATTGAGTGGTAAGCTGCGTTGGTTTAAATGTAAGCATTGCTTTTGCAACATCAGTCATAAGATTCATCCAGATGAGAAAGAATGAGAATGGACTGGGGCTGGAGGGAATGGAGGAGGAAGCATGGCAATTAAATTAGTGAGAAGTGAAAAGTGTTCATGTAGAATCAAGGAAGGGGTAAGCTGTTGTTATGGTGTTATAAGAAGGCACAGAGATAGCACAGAACATGACACAATTAGAGAACTACAAGTAGATGTGAGCTGTGGAGCATGGCATAGATTGCAAAATAAGTGAGTGAGAGAAGATAAGGTGAAGGAACATACACAGAAACCAGATTCTTAGACTTTGCATCCACAATACGGAATTTGAAAATTATTTTGATGGCTCTGGGATAATTCCATATATTAAAGAGGGGAGTGATATGATTAAGTTTATTTTCTTTCTTTTCCTCTTTAAAAAACTCTACTTGAGACATGCCAAGTAGATTGAAATAGGGAACTTTTTTTTTGAGTCAGGGCAACTGATAGGAGGCTGTGGCAGTGATACAGGAGAGTGTATGTGATGAGTTTTATAAGGCAGTGGCAGTGAAACTAGAGACCTTGGGATTGCTTTTGAGCTTTTGAGGATGTAGAATTTATAGAACTTGGTAATTGGGAATATGAGAAAGAGGAGGGAGTAAAAGGTCACTGCCACTTTTATGGATATGGCCCTCAAATGACTAGTAGTATTGCCATCTTCCTTTCATTTATCTCGTTACCTATCAATTCTATTTTGTAGTGATAATAACAGATGCTACGTATGGATTAGCTTTTGTGTGTTTTATGTATTTGATCTGTTCTTTGAGATTTTTCTGATTTACAGCTTTTTGGTATGGTTGCTTCTCTATTCAGTATGGAAATAGTTTTAATATTAGAGTCTGTCATGTATGTATGAACATACCCTTTCATATAATTTATTCTATAATGTCTTCTATGTTAATCCTCAAAATATTCAAGCAAAACTCAAGTAGAAACAGCTATGACACTTCTAGGATGTGTTTTCTGTAGGAGGTAGAAGATCTCTTGCCTCCACTTTATCAGCTGTTTGTTTTTAGATTTTAATTTTTTGATTTTAAATGTGGCAAATTATGGTTTTTATATACTGTATTTTACAAAGTGATACTGTGACTTATGATTATATTAGATTAAGTCAAACTAATTATGTAGCCATTATTTAAAGCTAATTCTATTGACATCATTTTTGTAGTCAGAATATATCAGTTCTTTTAATACTTTCGAGCAAAGAGAGATTTTAGATTTGATTTATATTTAATGTTTAATTGTTCCACTCTTTCATGCCAGTGTCTTGTGCTGGTTAACATCTGTGTATCTGTACTGTTTTCTTAAAGCGTATGTGATAACTTTGATATAATTATGCAAAACTCTAAAGTCATTTAGGTGCCTTTATCAGTAATAGAAATGTGGCCACTGTATTTCTTACAGAATGAATAATTAGTGTGTAGTAAGTAGTAGTAGTAGTAGAGGTTCATAGTAATAATTGTATTGTCAAGATAATGTTAATTTGTGTTATTTTATTTGAAGGTGTACTTTTGAAGAGATGGGAGAATTTAATAAGCAGTTTTAGATTTTATAAAAGTTATTATTTGTTTTCCTGATACTGGGGATTGAACTCGGGACCTTGTGCTTGCAAGGCAGGTGGTAGAACCACTGAGCAAAATTCCCAGCCCTTAGATTTTTAAAAAATTAAACATGGTTACCTTAAACTATCTGGAAAATTCCCATTTTACTGAACAACTCAGAGGAGTTTTTGATAGCTCTCATTATTTTACTGAAAAATACTTTAGACCAAGATTTACTAACACTTAAATAACTTAGTATGAAGATTGACTGAATGAGCTAATTTTCATGAATTGATATTCAAGAACTACAGTATATCTGGGGTTCTTAAATTTATGTAAAGCAATTAGTATCATAAGAAATCAATGAAAAAATGTGAGGAAATATTAGTGCATTGGTTATTTCAAAAAATAAAATGTATGATAAAATATGTACTATTTTTTTTCTCTCATTGAGTTTATTGGTACATTGTAGGTATGCAGTACAGTTACATTCATCATTGGGATCTTGTACCTTTACATGACGCGTCTTGATTCTTATCGTTTCCCTTTATCCTTGCCCTCTCTTTACCCCTTCCTCCCCCTCCCCCTTTACAAACACTTCATTTCCATTTTTTCATTTTCTCATTTTTTTTCTTTTTCCTTATTACCTTTCCCCTACCCTTCCCACTTTCCCTACACCTTTAGCCCCTTTCTTCCTACTTCTCATTGTCAATTATACCATTAGGATCTTATGTACTATTATAGTTTGTTCACACCAGAGAAACTATTCGGTATTTACACATGTGTGACTTATTTGCCCATCAGTTGGATACTGTATAAAGAAGATGTGGTTTTCTGTAAAATGTAATGCTACTCAGCCATAAAGAATGAGAAATTAGATTCATTCATAGGAAAATGGATACATATTGAAAATATGTACTATTTTGATGCAGAATGCAATTAAAATAGGTTAAGTTGAACAGCTAATAAATCTTATTTTTCATTCTTCATAATTTTTAATGCCAAATGATTATTAAATAGTTAAGGATTATAAAACCAAGACCTGTTGGGAAAAAGTCATTCTTGTTCAAGGAAATAACGTACGTGTGTCATTAATGAATAAATGGGACAGAAAAACTTTAAGGTGTCCAGTGTGGTTTTAGTTAAAATGGACATACACTAAAAAATAATCCTGTTCTAGTGCTGAAATTACTGCTCTCATCACATGTGTGTTACATTTTTAGGGGTTGAACTCTGGAAACTTAGCAGATGTTCCTGTTTGATTGTTGGGTACATATTTCTGTCTCCTCTAAATATGAATATTACTGGTAATAACTGATTAATTCCTGTATAGTGGAGAAAAACCTTTGGATGGAGTGAAGTGGGATTTGGATTTTGGAATAGACTGAAAAGCAGGGATGCTAGCTTTTCTTGGGCCAAATTATGTAAGTTTTGGGAAATCTACTGTGAGGGAATCTATTCTGGCCCTTCTGTAGCTGTAGTAGATATGGAGAATTTATAGGTAGCAGTCTTGTATAACTTCCTGGCTCTGTGCCTTTTAAATTTATTTTTCTTTGAATAAAGCATCAGATTAGTACCAAAACATATAGGAAAAAGTCTGAAAGAGGCCTTTTTCTCTTTGTGAGTATTCATTCCTGGTTGGTGAAAACTATATTTGATATATATATATCAATCATTGCTTTTAGCTCACAAAGTTTCATTTAGAGGTAATTGATGTCTTGTAGAAATTGTGCACATATATACATATGTATGATAATCTGTTCCAAAATACATTTTTATTACCAATTAAATTTTAAATGAATTTATTCTTTATGACAATAATGTGTTTTACAATAAAATATTTGAAAATATCTCCTTAACTCAGAATTGAATTAGCTGTGGTACAGTGAGCCATTTTATCAAATTTAAAGCATATTAAGGGATTTTGATGAATGTATATGTTCATTTTATCCTGTATTTGTTAAATACTTATAAAAGCACTACTTTTTAGGAGCTGAAGTTATATACTATTGGTAAATAAAACAGATCTGCTGCTAGCAGAGTGGTTATACTCTAATGAAATATTTCAGTCGCATAGACTTGGAGGGATAAAGACACTGAATAAAGCTTATGGAATATTCAGAAGGCCAAGAAAGCCAGAATTGGGTTGCCAGCTAGGGAAAGAGTAGGTGGCAAATATAATTAGCAAGTAAGGCACGGGCTAGCTTCCTTAAGACTTTAAAGACTAGAAAAGATATTTGGATTTTATTTTCAGTGTCACGGGAAGTGAATCCAGGGTTCTGGGCAGTAGTTTTAAAATTCACTCTGAGGTGCGAAACAGCAGCAGTATAGGGGGAAATGGGAATGGACACTAGACGTTACAGTAATGCAACTGAGAGATGGTGATGGCTTAGAAAGAGTGCTAGAATTGGAGGTAATAAGACAGTATCTGTAATTAGACAGTATGAGAGTCTTTGTTTTTAACAGCAGATGTGATAGTAACCACTGATTCAGGACAAGAGAAAAGTTACAGGTTATTGATTGCTAGGATTTTAGCTCAAATGGCTTAGTGAATCACCATTTACTGGTTTGCAATAATAAGACTATTGGTACCAAAATAGCTCTAAGCCTTTACCTTTTAAATGAAAAATGATTGTTATTAGCACAGTCTATGTGGAATTTTAAAAAATCATCACAAAAACTTCTTTTTTGTAGGCGGAGTATGTCCAGCTTGTTACTGAACTTCGAATGACAAGAGCCATTCAGCCTCAGATCAATGCTTTCTTACAGGGCTTTCATATGTTCATTCCACCTTCTCTGATACAGCTTTTTGATGAATATGAGTTGGTAAGGAAAAACTAATTTTTTGTTGTCACTCTAGTAAAACTAGTTGATGTAATTCAGAAATAATTTTGGAGTATGATAGTGAATGGAATAATGTATAGTGAGACAGTATGGCTTAACCACTTGCCAGTCCAATTGTTTAAATACAGGATGACCAAAAATTGCATTTTTTTTCATTAATTTTATAAGATAATATAGCAGGAAATTTAAAAAAATGACAATTTAAGCCAGGGATATAACTCAGTGGTGACACTGCCTGCCTCCCAAGTGCAGCGTCCTGAGTTTGATCCCTGGTACGGCCCCCACCATGACAGTTTTTATCCAATTTATTCAATACAAGAATCGACTGGTTGAAATGACACCTGCCCAAGCAATGCTCGGAATAGTCATTATGTAAACAGACTGGGTGCCCAAGTGATGTTTGGGTGGGTAAACTTAAGTGGTTAATTTAATATTCAAATTCAGAGATTTTTAAAAATAAGATGTGGTTGCACTTCTTTTTGTTGCTGTTTTCTGAGATGGTCTTCTGTGTAGCTTAGGCTGGCCTTGGGATTACAGCATGCACTACTAACCTCTCAAGCTTAATAACCAGAGTAACAGTTACTTTATATGAAATGGGGTGAGGTGGTGATAAATACAGGATATATTTTGAATGCTTTCTATGTAGAAGATGGTGAAGGTGAATCAACCCATAAACAGTATTCTATGTTATTTCTGAATTTTTTGTTTGGCCACATAAAGGATGCTGATACTAACTTGTTCTTCCCAAAAGAAGAAGACTTTTTCTTGTATTTGTGTAATCTTCTCTAGCTTCTTATTTTACCATATGTGTGATTTTGTAATTCTCTGTTTCAAACTTATGTAGAGTCTGTTGTCTTTATAACCATCTACTTCCTGATGAATGTTTTTTTCTTTAATTCACCTGCCTTTTACTGTGATCTAACAGGATTCCTTATTTCAAATGATTTATGTCTGGGTTTTTCTTCATATTCTTTTTCCTTTTTAAAAAATAATAAATTATTTTCAAACTCTATAGTGTAGTTGTTTTCTTACTTTAAAAATTATAATTAGGAATAGTAAATTCCAGATCAGTGGAAAAGCACTCTTTGGTTTTTATTGTTTCATAAAATTCATTTTACCCTATGCCTTTTCATTTTACTGTATGAATAAGGTTGGTGATATATGCCTTCAATTTACATATATTAGTATTTCAATTTATCATAGTATGTCTTTGTATAAAAAAGTACATTTTGCTAATTTTGAAGTCTGTTGTGACTTTTACTAAATTTAAGTTATTGAGTGTCTTGATTTTAGTTGTAATATTAATGGCTTTATTTGCCATAGATTCATTTATTTTTAGGTAAGATTTATTATTTTTAGCACTCAAAATTGAAAGAATTATGAGCTGTTATTAGTTATGACTGCAATCGGACTTTTCCAGTACTGTGCTTGGATTAAATTAGCATTGTGAAGTTTAAGACAGAAAATTTTGTTATTTTCTGGACGTATGTGTAGTTATAACACAAACAGCTATAACAAAGATAATTAACAAAAAGTTGCCTGGCAGTTTACTGATACTGATAAGTTTATAAAGCATTTATTGATACATATATAAGGAAAAGATGTGCATAATAAATGTGTGGCCCATTGAGTTTCAACAAACTGAACATACCTGTGGAAACAGCCCCCAGATTAAGAAGTCTGGAGACCTGGGATTTAGCTCAGTGGTTTCGCCACCTGCTCACAAGCTCAAGGACCCAAGTTTGATCCCTGGTACCAAAAAAAAAGAAAAGAAAAGAAGCAGATCCTGGCACCCAAGGTGTCCTTGTGTTTCATTTCAGTCACTATTCCCCCTCAAGTGTAATCATTCTCTCGACTTCTTAAATCGTAGATAGCTTTACTTGTTTTTAAAATGTATTTCTAAGTGGGAAAAAGCTTAACTTGTTTGTGAGAACCATTTATTATATTGGATGCAGTTGTACTTTGCTCATTTTCATTGCTGTACAGTATTATGTCGGTTTTCTTTTGGGTTTTTTAAGTTCCAGGCTATTTCAAGTAGTGCTACTACAAACATGGTGGTGTGTATTGTCGGGGAGGACAGATGTCTGCATCTTGTTTTTTGTACATATGTTCACCTGGGAGTAGAATTGCTTTAGTAGATACAGATACTAGCAAATAGTTTTTTAAAGTTGTGTGTCTCTTTATAATTTCACGCACAAATATGAAGGGGGTTTGTATGTTCTACGTCCTCAGTTTTTTAATATTTCTTCCTTTTTCACTTTCACTGTTCTGGTGTGTAAATAGTCTTTTCTTGTAATACTAATTTGTCTTTTCCTGATGACTAATGAAGTCAAGTACCTTTTATGTGTATTGGCTATTTATATATCTATTTTCAAAATATCTGTTGTAAGTAATTTGTCTTTCAATTTTTTTTTGTTAATGGTTTATAGGATTCTTAGACATTATTATTGTGAATATATATTTTACTCTGCTTTCTTTCAGTGAAAAAAAATTTAGTTGAAACAGTACAGTTTATATATATATGCATACATATATATGTATGTATATATATATTTTTTAAATGATGGGTTTCTTTGTATCCTTTGTGTTTAAGAAAGTTTCTTACTCCACCGTACTAAAGGTATTTTCCTGTGTTATGTCTCTGCTAAGTTTTTAATTGTGCATTTTATATTAGAATTTAGATGAGGCTTCTTAGTTTGTCTTAGACTCTGGCTTTATATTGATCTGATTTGATGGTAATATCATTTGGGATAAGTAACATTGTAGTCATGCTTATGATTTTTGCAGTAATAATAATGTTGACAGTTGCCAACTACTTGGTATTTGCTAGGAATTATGTAAATATCAACATTAAAATCTTCACAGCAAACTTCTGAGGTAAGTAGAAGTGTTCACATGTCCCAGATCAGAAAACTAGATCAAAGAAAGGTTTGGAACTTGCTTAAGATGGTGGAATATGTGGTAGAGCTAGACTGTTAAGTCACGCTCTCTGACCACACAGCCCATTCTTTTCATTATTATTGCCAAATTAATTCTTGATGACACCAGTAATAAATAGTATAGAGCCTTTGTGTCTTTTCATGGGAAAAGGCTTAGCTACACTGAAAGGATCTTTTTACAGTTTTTTACAGACATTTCTCTTAAATTTGTACCTCAGTTAAGGGATTCAGGTTGAATTCTAGAGTTTTACGGAGAAGATAGCCCACAGTTCCAGTGTCCTGAACTAGAGGTGTATTTATCTCTTGTGGATAGAAAGCAGCCCTAAGTCAAGAGATAATTATCAGTTTAACAAAGTCACAGCAGTGTTATCATTAATACATGTATTATACTATTACAGTTGAGGGATTTCTATCAAATGTGTAAGGGACTGTCTCTTAATGTACTGCTCAAGAATTTATCCATAACAGTACCAGAATATAACAACATTGAGTCATATGAATGCTACGTAACTTAATGGCTATGAACATTGTATGACTCACATTATGATAGTTAGTGTGGGTTATATATATTAAACCTCATTCTAACAGTTATCTTGTTATATCTTAAAAATTCAGTTATTTTGTTTTTTCAAAATCAGTAAACAGTTGATTGGGGTTATAGTATTGTAATTATATGCACTTTTGTGAAATTTCCATTCCACCTATGTGTTCTTAGTCAATTTAATAATATTGGTCAGTTGTTAATAGTATAATAACGATTTTTCTCTTTGCAGAAAATTATAACAAATAAGTATGATATAAGGTTCGTCTATTTTTTTGAGAGATATAGCCTGTCATTTTTATTCATAATTATTTACAATAAAAGCATAACTAGTTTTGGGGGGGTATGGGAATCGAACTCAGGACCCTTTGCTTGCGAGGCAGGTGCAGTGCCTCTGACCTAAGTCCCTGGTCCTCACACTTAATGTTATTAAAAGCTTGCCTTCAGCCTAAAAGGGAAAAAGATAAATCTTATAAATTGCAAGAAACATGAAACTCATTCCCACTCTCTTTTGTTAGATCTGTATCAGGGTCCTACCAGGGAACAAGATTTCCTCAGGTGGTTAAATTAAAGAGCTTTAATACAGGGACAGTTAGAAGTAGTTGTAAAGAATAAAGAAGTTCTGGTGGGATGCCCGTAGACTGGCAACAACAGAAAGCCTTAATTGTGACTAGGACTAAAGATACAGATGGAAGAATTAATAAGGGTCTTGTGAGAGATTGAATTGCCAAGGAGGGTTCTTGGTAGTAGCTGTGGTTTAGGAGATAAGGCTGCTGCAGAGATGTGGTATTGAAACAAGACGGAACAGAAAATACCATCCCCTCTAACTCTGCCTGTGTTCCAGCTCAACCTGAAGCCAGCAAGCCAGGAAGCCAGTCTGTAGTGCAGAAGAGGTGGTAAATGTGTTTGGGAAGAGTGACTGGAATATCTTCATGCAGCACATATAAATATTTTCTAATACTGCTGTGAAAATAACTAAATCACAACTATACTAACAGTTCTAAAACTTTGTAGCCTTAGGACCCCTTAAAACAAGAGTTTTTCACTTAGGAGTATATATCCTCAATATTTATCCATTTTTCTATGAATGAATCTAATTTCTTGTTCTTTATGGCTGAGTAATATTCCATTTTATAGAAAAACCACATCTTCTTTATCCAGTTTCCAGCTGATGGGCAAATGGGCTGTTTCCAAGTTTTAGCTATTACAAACTGTGCTGCTATAAACATGGGTGTGCATACATCACTGTGATATGATTCTTTTAGTTCTTTTGGAAAGATACCCAGCAGAGGGATGACTGGGTCAAATGGAACCTCCAGTCCAAGCTCTTTGAGGTATCTCCATATTGATTTCCATAGTGGTTGCAGCAGTCTGCACTCCCACCAACAATGGAGAAGGGTCCCTTTCTCCCCACAACCCCGCCAACATTTGTTATTGTGTGATTTCTTGATAGCAGCCCTTCTTTGTGGCATGAGGTGGAATCTCAGTGTTGTTTTCATCTGCATCTCTTGAATGACCAGTGATGTGGAACATTTTTTCATATATTTACTTGCTGTTTTTATTTCTTTGTCTGAGAAATGTCTGTTCATTTCGGATGCCCATTTTTGAATTGGGTCTTTATATTTGGGGGGGCTAATTGTTTTTGAGTTCTTTATATATTCTAGATAATAGTCCTAGTCCTTTGTCTGAGGAGCAGCTGGTAAAAATTTTTCCCACATTGTAGGTTGTCTCTTAGTTCTCTTGATGGTTTCTTTTGCAGTGCAGAAGCTTTTTAATAAGATGAGATCCCAGTTGTTGATTCTTTCTGCTAGTTCCCGTGCTACTGGGGATGTGTTCTTAAAGTCTTTTCCTATGCCAATGTCTTCCAGAGTTCTAACTTATCTTCCAGTAAGGTTAGTGTTTCTGTTTTAATATTTAGATCTTTAATGCACTTGGATTTTAGTTTAGTGCATGGTGAAAGATAAGGTTACAATTTTAATCTTTGGCAGGTTTTCCAAAGATTATCCAGTTTTCCAACACTATTTTTTGAAGAGGCTGTCTTTCCTCCACTGAGGCTGGTCAGCTCCCTCTGTCTAAAATGAGGTAGCTGAGTACATCTGGAATTGTTTTTGTGTCTTCCAATCTGGTCCACTGATGCTCAGGCCTGTTTCTTTGCCAGTACCATGCTGTTTTTATCACAGTGGCTTTGTAGTATAGTTTCAAATTGGGAGTTGTTATACCTGCTGCCATGTGTCTGTTGCCTAGGATGGCTTTTGCTGTTCTAGGTTTCTTATGGTTCCAAATGAATTTTTGGATTCTTTTTTCTAGTTCTGTGAAATATAGTGTTGGAATTTCAATTGGCATTGCATTGAATCTGTATAGCAGTTTTGGAAGTATGGCCATTTTCACTATGTTGATTCTTCCTACCCAGGAGCAGGGGATATTTTTCCTTTTTCTTATGTCCTCTTCAGTCTCTTTTTTCAGAGTGCTGTAGTTTTCAGTGTAGAGGTCTTTTGCTTCTTTTGTTAGATTGATTCCTACACAAATGTGTAAATACCGAATAGTTTCTCTGGTGTGAATAAACTGTAATAGTACATAAGATCCTAATGAGATAACTGACATTGTGAAATGGGAAGAAAAGGCCTAAAGGTGTAGGGAAGGTGGGATAGGTAGGGGAAGGGTAATAAGGGAAAAGAAAAAATGTGAGAAAATGAAAAGATGGAAATAAAGTGGTTGTAAATGGGGAGGGGAGGAGGGGTGAAGGAAGGGCAGGGACAAGGGGAAAAAATGAGAAACAAGACCTATTGTGTAGAGGTACAAGATCCTAACAATGAATGTAACTGTACTGTATCCCTAAAATTTACCAGTAAACTCAATTAAAAAAATCACAACAATAAATCCTAAAATACCATAGTAAAAAAAACAAAAGAGTTTTTGTTTATGTGGCTATTAGTTGGTTTTTACCGAGTTTGAAGTTAAACAAAACAAAAAACGCTCAGTGCATATTAACATATGTACCATTTAAAAAGTAACTGCTTTTCCAAGATCAAGATCAAATAGAAGAGTGGTATTGTTTTCCAGTTTTGCAAATTTGTAAGGTTAGTGGCTTAATAGAAGACAGGTGAGCTCTAATATCTGCTTCTCCATATAATCAGTTGTACTGTATTATTTGGTGGAAGTATACAAAGAAAATCCACTTTCACATAGATAACTTGGAAAAGAGAACTTTTCAGGCCTAATGAATAAATCTCAAAAATTTCAGGAGTTCTCAGATATTTCCTTATATTAATTTTGTTCGGAGTGAGTATACTTTATACCAGTCATGAACATGTTAATAGTAATTGCTGTAGGAGACATGACTTTGAACTACATTGCATTTATGACCCTGTTATACCAAAGCATGGTGTTCTAGCTTACTGTGTAGGTTAAGGCAGATAGTCAATGCCTCATTTTACTGTTCTCAACTGTGAAACATGGGCTAATTCAACATCTTTTTATATTTTTCCTTAGAAAACCTAATGGTAAATACTTGCTATTCTTAATTTCACTTTTGTTTGTATGATTGAGATTTTGCAATGAGTTTGATGATCTTCCTGTAAAAAAGCCTGTCAAAAATCGTGAGGCCTTAGGTTTTATTCTTAGCACTGCAAGATAACAAAAAATATTTTATTATCACTTTAGGGAAAATTGTCTTTAAAAGGTCTGAATTAATTCCTTAAAAGGGTTTTTTGTTTTGTTTTGTCTTGAGACATTGTAATTCAGCTGGCTTTGAACTCACTAGGTGGCCCTGGTTGGCATTGAACTCACAGCAGTCCTTCTGCCTTGTCCTCCCAAGTGCTGGGATTATAGGTGTTTGCCATAAATACTGTTTTCTTTTTAAAGAACTTTATATTACTTCTTTTTCCTAATAATGATTTTTGATGCATATTACTTTAATCTAGCATTTATTGAAGTCTTTGCTTCCACTTTAATGTTGAGAATACAGTCTCTTGGTAGAATTTAACATGTTTGCAAATAAAAATAAACTAAAGGTAATGTTCATATAGTTGTTGCACATGTGAACTGTTGTATATGTGTATATAAACTCAAACTACAGTCTCATATTTTAATTGAATTGAATCATTGTGCAGATACCACCACCTCACAATGTTTCAAATTATCAGTATCAAGGATTCTTTACTAGGTAGTTATTGTTGATGACTGTGGAAACTGTCACAAAAAATAAATCAGTTTCATATGGGGTTAGTTTCTAATTAAGTCAGACTTGCTATTTAAATGTAATATTTTTTTTTCCTCAAAGAAGATTAATGAGATACTTTCTTTCTCCTCAAAGGAGCTACTGCTTTCTGGCATGCCAGAAATTGATGTGAGTGATTGGATAAAAAACACAGAATACACAAGTGGCTATGAAAGAGATGATCCTGTTATTCAGGTAAAATCTCTCTAGAGCTTAGACTGAGGTTAGATTTGCCATTTAATTTTATAAGCTTTTAAGCACTATTAGATGAAAATTTACATTAATTAACAAAGTAAAGTTTTCCCCTAAATACTTCTTGTGGGAATATTGTGTATGAAACCTTTGTATGAAATCATTTTTGATAAATGAGTTTCGTAGAATAAAATATGCTTTATGAATATTGCCTAGTTCTCTGGTATTAATAAGTTTACATTTGCTCTGAAATATGAGATAAGTTTTTGTTTTTACTTTTAGTGGTTCTGGGAAGTTGTAGAAGACATTACACAAGAAGAGAGAGTCCTCCTCTTACAGTTTGTTACTGGCAGGTAAGAAGTATTTTTTTATGATAAGCATAGAAAAATTGTAATGTATATCATTTCCAATGGCTCAGAAAATAATCACAGAGAAAAATAACCAAAATAAAGACTTATTACTCTGAACTGTTGGTATCTTATCACTGTTTTCACTATTTTAGGTATTAAAGATTTATTTAAGTATTAAAGATAAACATTTATAATAGCACTCAACAAATGTTTTACATATTAAACCAATTCTTATCAGTATATTTTATAATTTGGTCATTTTCAGTCTGTAGGTAGATAAATGATAGACAAATTTTTAATATTTATATGTTACTGGTTTAATATAACAGTACGGGTATTTAGTCTCCCCCCACACAGTGACACACACACTTCTTATGCATATAGAGCTTTTTTTTTTTTTTTCAGTTTTTACCAAGCTTGAAGTGTTAAAATTCATGGCCTGAATATAATTTGTGATACATTTCTTTGAAAAGTCCACTTTTAGGGTCAATTAAATATAATAATCATTAGAAAACTATATGATTTAAGCCTCTTTTATATTTCTGAAAGATTAAAGGTCTGATTTTCATTTTTTTAAACTTAGAATTTTATCTATTTCTTCCCTTTCTTCCTTCCATTTATTTTTGTTTTTTATTTTTTGGTACCAGGGATTGAACTCAGGACCTTGCACCTGCAAGATAGATGTGGTACCATTGAGCTAAATCCCCATCCCCTATTTTCTTGTGGTTCTTATGAACATGTAGTTTATGGTAGCACACACCTGTAATCCTGTCACTCTGTGAGGCTGAGGCAGGAAAATCATAACCTGGGTGATGTAAGCACAACCTGTGTGATTTAGACCCTGTGTAAAAATAAGAAGAGGGTGGAAATGTAGCTTAGTGTGTGAGGGCTGTGGGTTCAGTCTTCAGTACCTTTTCCCCCAAAAAATGGTTCAGTTTTTTTCATTATAAATGTATATAGTTCTTCTCAAAGTTGGGAAACAAACTTAAATAATGCCTTTGTCAGTAATAACTACTATAATTTAATATATTTACTTATCTTTTTTCTGTATAAATAAATTATGTGTTATCTATATAAAACACATATGTAACTTTTTAAAGACCATGATTTTCTTATTTTAAAGATAGACTATAACTGTTACAAAAAATTTAATAAATACAGAAAATGAAAGTCCCATTTAGTAATCTGATCATTAATTGTGGTATATCAACTTAATTGGATTAAGAAGCACCTAGCAGATTAGTAAATCACACTTTTGGTTATTATCTGGCTGTCGTGATACTTTGATACTGTATATGATCTCTGGCCCCTTTGTCTATGACATTTTTGTTTTCATTAAGTTTATTGGTACATTTTAGGTATACAATTCAGTTACATTCATCATTGGGATCTTGTACCTTTCATGACTTATCTTGGTTCTTATTTCTCCCCATTCCCCAGCCCTCCCTTCACCCCCTGCACCCTTCCCTGTTTACAAAGTCATTGTTTCCATGTTTTTCCTTCTTACATATTTTCCCCTCCTCTGCTCTTTTAGAAGACCTTTTCTTCCTATTACACAATATGAATTATACATTTGGTTCCTTATTTACACTTTACTTTTGCACACCAGAGAAAGTATTTAGTATTTACACATGTGTCTCTTATTAATTTCACTTGAGTATGGCCTCAGTGTGCATCCACTTAGCTATAAATGTCTCTAGTTTCTTGTTCTTTATGGCTGAGTAGTTGTCTCTAACATTGTTGTCCTGCTGTGCTTCTCAGCTGCCACAAGGTAAGCAGTTTTGCTCTGCCATACCCTTTTGCCATTGTGTTTCTGCCTTAAAGCCAGCTAACCATAGACTGAATTCCCTGAAACCATGAGCCAAATTAAATCTCTTCTTTATGTTGTGATTGTTGGAAATTGTGTCCTAGCAACAGTAAAGAAGGCTAATACATAAAGTTGCTCTTCAGAGATAACTTATAACTGATATTTCGGTTTATTTTCGTAGTCTTTTAGACATACAAATACAAAAATAGTTGAAATCACTGTATATTTCATTTAATAAGTATAACATGACTATTCATGAGTTAAAGACACAAGATAAAATAGTTACTTTCCCATGGGTACCAAAAATCACTCCGAAACTTGAGTAATTTAATAAAAAGAATGAACAGTATTTTCTGTATAGGAAGGTTAGACAATTCACATTGAAAAAAAAAATCACCTCTTATCTCAATCCCTAAAGATAATCACTGTTATTCTAGAATTATTTCCATAGCTGTAAGCTTTTGCTTTTTTAAAAACCATTGTGCCTGTTTTATAATTTTTATTTTTTCTTGTACTAAGGATTGAACACAGGGCTTCACACAGGCTATGCAAGCCCTGAGTTACACCCCAACCCCCATTACAATTTTATTTTGAGACAGGTTCTTACTAAATTGCCTTAATCCTCCTTTCTTGGCCTCCTGAGCAGTTGGAATTACAGGAACGAATGACCTTGCCTACCCATAACTTTTTGAATGTTATTAAAAATTGTTCCATATATAGATCAGTGCAGTTTTAAAAATGGCTACCTATACTTCCATTTATGGGCCTCCTTTAGTCATATCTTTATTGGTAAAACTTCTGTTCATGAATTATGCTGTACAAATAAGGTATCCCAATGCTTTTATCCTTGAGGGACAGTCTGATTACTTATACAGGATAAATTGTTAGAAGGGCAAGGATTGGATATAAGAATACACACACACACACACACACACACACACACACACACATATAGCTTTGGGTTGAGGGTATAGTTCCATGGTAGAAGATGACTTGTCGAGAATGTACAGGGGCCTGGGTTCAATCTTTAGCATCACATACACACAAAAAGTATGTTAATTTTTATAACCTTGGTATGTATGGTCCATTTACCTTCTCGAAGTTACTAATATTAAGATTAACAGGGAAGTAGAGGACTTATTACTCTTTTGAAAATCAATACAAGGTGCATTTAATTTTATTTTTTATATTATTTTTATGTGTGTGATATGAATTGCCTTTTATTTTTTGCCTATCATTCCATAGTCATTTTTAAAACATTTAATTTAAATGTTGTTTATATATTAGCAACATGAACTGTAAATATTTTGCTAGCTTGTCATTTGTCTTTTAACTTTATTAATATACAGATTTCAATTTTAATTTATAACAAGGAAGATTTGAATTATGTTGCTGAGTTGGTTATTGTCCTTGTTACTTTTCTTGTTGCTGAGACAAAATACCTGACATCCAAAAATAAAGGGAGAAGGTTTATTTAGCTCACAGTTCATAGAGGTGTCAGTCCATAGTTGGCTGACTCCAAGGCAGGGTAGGGTGGCAGATGGCAGAGGGTCCATTGCAGAGGAGAAACAATTCATGGCAAGCAGAAGGCAGCAAAGCAGTGAAGAAGCAAAGGAGCAAGCAACAAGAACAACCTTAGCCCTCTTTCTGTTCCTTACATTTATCCAGGCTACCCGGCTTTGGTTGGTAGCACTCACACCCAGAGTGGTGCACCCTTAATCTTACTCAGAACTGTGCCAAACCAGTCAGTAAACTAATTTGATAATTACACACCCTCAATCCCAGCATCACACAGCTTAGATCCAGCCACTTCTGAAAAGCCCCACCTATGACTGCATGAGGCTTTGTGGAGAATCTAGACACAACCTATCACAGTTATCCTTTAATAGTTTTTAAAAGCTAAAGAATGAATGAACAAATATATGTATATACATACTTTTTTATTTTTAATTTTGTAGTTTTTTTACATTCTAATCTTTAAACCATTTAGACTTTTTTTGGTTTAGGTTGTGAGGCACGGTTCATTTGTTATTTTTCTCAAAGATATATGGCTCAAAACTGCTTGGTGAATTATTGTATTTTCCCTGTGATTTGGTTGATACATGTCATTTAGATGCAGAAAATAATTACTCAGATTCTTTGGTACTAAAAAAATTGCTATTTTGATAGAACAAAACAGCTTTGATAAAGTAATGTGCCCCTGCTGTTTAAGTAACAATGCTAAAAAGAACTGCAATGTTGTTATTTAACTGGTTATGAAGTATGGCTTCTAAGAATAGTGGAAATCACATTTGATGATTTGCCTGTGTATAAATTAGTATAGTAGTTCCTTAGTAACCCTGGATTTTACATTCATGGATTCAACCCACAACAGATCAGGAATACTTTGGAAAAAATATTTGTCTGTATTGAATAGGTACAGAATTTTTTCCTTGATACTTTTCCGTAAACAATACAGTCGAACAACTGTTTACATTGCATTTATATTGTATTAGATACTACAAGATGATAAGTATATGGGAGAATATATGTAGGTAATATGGAAATATTTTGCCATATTATGAAGAGACATGAGTATCCAAATATTTTGGAAAGGGGGTGGTATCCTGGAACTAACCCTGTGTAGCAGTCAGTGTGTGAGGGCTTATGTTCACTTTTTGTCCTAATAAAGTGGTATACTTGCTTTTTATTTTTACCTGTATAAAAAAGTAAGAATAAGCCACCCTTGATGGTACATGCCTATAATTCTAGCTATTGGTAGGCTGAGGCAGGAGGATTGTAAGTTTGAAGACAATATAGTGAGACCTTGCCTCAAAATAAATTTTAAACAAGGGTTGGGTATATAGCCTAGTAGTAGAGTGCTTACCTAGCATGCATGAGCCCATGGATTCAATTCCTAGTACTAAAAAAAATTTTCAGAACGCCTTAATTTTATCCTTTTTCATTTCTGGTAAGCTTATTAATTTCTTAGGCAAAGATTAATTTTACAGAGATTAATGGTGAATTGTATTTTGGTTTATAAACATAAATCTCCAGGTTTTCTTTAGATGTTCTCATCCCAAGTAGGAGTTACTCATGAATTCATGTTGTATTAGAAAGATACAAGAATTCTTTTGTTTTACTTTAATTTTTTGTTTGTTTTGTTTTGAGGTGCAGTCTTGCTATGTAGTTCAGTCTGGCCTTGAACTCACTGTGTAGCCCATGCTGGCCTCAGTCTCATGGAAATCCTCCTTCCTCAGCCTTCTGAGTACTGGGATTGCAGGCATGTGCCACTGTGCATATCAAGGATTCTTTTAATATTATTAAAGTAACAAATTTTATCAGTAAAGTGTTTATTGGCAACTAGACTACTTCCCAGCTTAAAAAAGAAAAAGAAAAGAATAAAATTATTGTTTTTAGGGATTCTCATATTTGATTGAAAAGCTTCCCTTGTGAATATATGCATCATCAGTAATTTCAAATAGAATATCCTGTGCACTGTTAAGAATTTGTATATGAGTATGGAAGAAATACAAAACAAAATTTACTTTTAAACCATCTTTAAATGTGCAATTTTATGGCATTAAACATAGTCATACTGCTTACAGTTATCACTGCCATCCATCTCCCAAATTTTTTCACATTTCTCAACTGAAATTTTGTAACCATTTAGACACTTAATTCTACATTTACCCTCCCCCAGTTTCTGGCAATCACCATTTTATGTCTGTATGAATTTGACTGCTCTAGGAATCTCATTTTAGTGGAATTATACAGTATTTACACTTTTTTTTTCCTGATTGAGTTTATTGGTACATTTTAGGTATACAGCACAGTTACATTCATTATTGGGATCTTATACCTTTACATGACAGGTCTTGGTTCTCATTTTTTCCCCTTGTCCCTGCCCTCCCTTCACCCCTTCTCCCCTCCCCCTTTACAAACACTTTATTTCCATTTTTTAATTTTCTCATACTTTTTCTTTTCTCTTATTAGCTTTCCCCTACCCTTCCCACTTTCCCTACACCTTTAGCCCCTTTCTTCCTATTTCACATTGTCCATTATATCATTAGGATCTTATGTACTATTGTAGTTTATTCACACCAGGGAAACTATTCGGTATTTACACATGTGTGACTTATTTATTTCACTTAGGAGTATATCCTCAATATGTATCCATTTTCCTATGAATGAATATAATTTTCTCATTCTTTATGGCTGAGCAGTATTCCATTTTATAGAAAAACCACATCTTTATCCAATTTCCAACTGATGGGCAAATGGGCTGTTTCCAAGTTTTAGCTATCACAAACTGCCGCTATAAACATAGGTGCGCCTACATCACTGTGATATGATTCTTTCAATTCTTTTGGAAAGGTACCCAACAGAGGGATGGCTGGGCCATAGGGAACCTCTTGTCCCACAGTATTTACCCTTTCATGAGTGGCTCATTTCACTTAGCAAATTGTCTTCAAGATCATCCATGTTGTAGTACATGTTAGATTTCTTTCTTTTCGGTGCTGAACAATTCTCCATTGTGTGTGTGTGTGTGTGTGTGTGTGTGTGTGTGTGTGTGTATTGCTTACTCACATTTTGCTTGCCCATTCATCTGTCCATAGATACCTGGATTGCTTCCATCTTTGGGTAATGTGGATTATTCTTCTGTGAACGTGATGGGCAAATATTTGTGTGTCTGCCTTCAGTTCTTTTGATTATAATCCCCAAAGTGGAATTGCTGGATCATATGGTATATACTGTAGTTCTGTTTTACATTTTTGAAGAACTGCCACACTGTTTTCCTCAGACGCTGTACCCTTTTCCATTTCTACCACCATTTTTTCTACATTCTTGCTAATACTTCTTATTTTCTGGATTTATTTTATTTTTTTTGGTACCACAGATCAAACTCTGGGACCTTGAACTTGCAAGGCAGGCAGCGGAACCACTGAGCTAAATCCCTGGCCGTGGAGTGTTTTTTTTAATACTACTAATTATTGTAATGGATGTGAAGTGGTATTTTATTGTGGTTTTGGTTTGTATTTCCGTAGAGATGAGTGATGGTAAGCATCTCTTCATGTGTTCGTTGGCCATTGTGTATCTTTGCAGAGAGGTCTCTTCTGCAGTCTGGTTGTTTTGTTGTTGTTCTTTATATATTCTGGATATCAGTCCCTTATCAGATCAGTGACTTGCAAGTATTTTCTCCCATTCCATGGACTGATTTTTCATTCTCTTCATAGTTTCCTTTGATATACAAGTTTTTAATTTTGATAAAGTACAACTTCTCTGTTTTCTCTATTTTACCTGTACTTAGAGTGTTTTATCTAAGAAATCATTGACAGATCCAGTGTCCTGAAGCTGTTGTCCTGTATATTTTGTAAGATTTTTTTTATAGCATCAGCTCCTTTGTTTAGGTATTGGATTTATTTCAAGCTAATTTGTGTATATAGCAAAAATTAAAGGCCCAACCGCCACCCCCTATCTAGTATTCTTTGTTGAATAGGTTGCTCTTTTCTTATTAAGTGTTCTTGGCATTCTTCTTGAATATAATTTAGTCAAGGATGCAAGAGATCGTTTTGGAGCTCTCATTTGTTTCATTTGTTTGCATGTCTTTATGCCATATTACACAGTGTTTTGATTTCTATACTTATGTAATACATTTAAATATAGGGAGACAGAACTTTTGCAAAAGGGAAGAGGGCCAAGCAAGAGTTGGGGTGAGGGAGGGCAGAAAGGAGAAAGGGATAAAAAAAGAATTAAGATATGTTGTATACATTTACAAACTCTCCATGATGAATGCAATTGTTATGTAACACAAACATGTACTAATTTAAAATAAAAAGATACTCAATGAGCTATATGAATTAAAAAAAATGAAATCAGTGTATGGTCTCCACCTTTGTTACTCTTTTAGAAGATAATGTTTTGACTATTTGAGGTTCAGCATTTTTTTAAGTGGATTGAATTACACTTTGTACTATGTATCATGTTTTAGGGAACATTTTAACTTTTGGTCATACTTGTTTCTTTATGCATTTAATACCTGGACATTAAGTGTTCCCGTGTTATCGTTCAGATTTATCCAAAAGCACCACAGAATCTCATTTTACTTTATTATTATTTTTTTCAGTCCTAAGGATTGAGCCCAGGGCCTTGCATCTGCTATTCAAGCACTGCACCAACAGAGTCTCATTTTAAAAGCAACAATTTTTTTTCCAGAATAAGTTTTCTTAATCCTGATACAAACACAGACTAATTTGAAATATTAATTTACTTCTAAATGTATAGAGCTTTATAAGTTATAATTACATCATATATGGCCCTATAACCAAGATAAAAATTTCTAGTGATGTGTCAGGCATTAAATTTTAGTCTTCCTGTGGTCTGTTACATTACATGACATTTAGAAAAGTGTGTTTGATATTCTGAGTTTCTGGAAAGAGAAATTAAATAATTTTCTAGTTTTCCCACTGTGAAAAACAAAGCAGAGCAAAAAGCATTTTAGGCCTTGAGATTTTTCACAAGGAGGGAAACCATTTGGAATATAATATATAAGAGTTTTTGTTGCTTTAATTAATCATTCATTTATTCAACAAATAATGTCTATAGAAATCAGGCATTTTGCTAACCCCAAAGGATAGAGATAAATGTGACATGTTTGGGCCATCAAATTAGGGCCAGTTTAGTAGGGAGGCTTATGACAGCAAATAATTGTAAATGCATCCAGCTAAATATGAGAGTAGAGGAAGTACTTGGCCAGGCAAAAGTGTCATATGGTTGATGGCAGTATGAAGGGGTGTTTCTATGAAAGCTTGCTATCTGGTCAGAACACAAAATACAGCAGTGAGTAAGGAGTTTTTCAGAATCCAAAATGTCATCTTGTCGTTGTTCAAGTTGAATATATTCTAACCCTAACTTAGAAAATGAAAATGATCTATCAAAGAGTTTTCCTTACATGATTGTAAATTAAAATTCAAACTCTTAGTTCCAGGGTCCCCCATGGTGGTTTTGCTAATATCATGGGTGGAAGTGGATTACAAAACTTTACAATTGCTGCTGTGCCATATACTCCAAACCTTTTACCAACTTCAAGCACGTGGTAAGTTAGTTTATTTAAACGCATTGTAAATTGTTTGTGATAATTTTAAATGATCAAAGGCCAAGCTACTTTATTGCTCTATTGAAGGGAAAAATCTCAGCCCTGTTCTTCATTCAGAGTTTTGGAATCACAGGTTGAGAGAAAGTTGATTGCTCCCCTTTTTTGGTAGGGAAAATATTTGAGGAAAATCTCAACTACCTAGAGTTTAATTGAATATGGTTCAAGAATCACTAAAGTTATATTGTTGTATCTCTGAGTTACACCATCACTTCAGACTAAATTGCCCTATTACTTATTTTAAGCTGAAAGCAACTTATTTTCTTCCACTACATTTGCATGCAGAAAGAAACTGCAGTGCAGTATTTTTTCCCATTTTTAAAAATACTACTTCAGGGCTTTCCAATTTGAATGCAAATTTGAGGGAGTAGTTTTATGTTGATTATGAGTAGTTTTTTCATTGCTAAATAAAACAATCAAATTTCGTAGATTTTTCTCTTTAATGATGGTATATATTTTTTTTCTTTTTTCTTTTTCTTTTCCTTTTTTTTTTTTTTAAAGCATCAACATGCTCAAGTTGCCTGAATACCCAAGTAAAGAAATACTAAAGGACAGACTTCTTGTGGCACTACATTGTGGCAGCTATGGTTACACAATGGCATAATGAAGCCTGCAAAACTCGTCTGACTACTGATGCACAATTCAGAGTGGCATAAGAAACTGTCAACAGAAAAGGAGCCTAAATGCAACCCATAAGCAGAGCTGATGTTTAAAATTCATAAAGGATCAGGTTTTCTGTTTTTCTCTATCTTTTCCCTTTTATGTTCTGTGATATAGTTAGAAAATAGAAAACTACTGCAGACATTATTTTTTAAAACTGCTAATTGAAAGTAGTATAAACTGTCCTTTTTTCATGTTTTTTACTTTTATCCAAGGTTGTGTAAAGGCAAAATCTTATTCTACATTCCACCTCTGTAATTGTCTTGTTAAAAGTGTATTTTTCTCTTTATTTTCCTATATATGAGGACATCCAGCTGGTATGTTCTACTGCATGTAAAGTGCCATTTATATTTGGAAAATAATTGTAAAAAATGAATTAATTTAGATTGTGTATAAAGCCACAGATACGTATTTTCCCATATTGTATCTATATTGCAATGATTTTCTAGGTTTTTAGTACTTTAATATATAATGTAAAATTTAGACTGATGTGACTAACAAATAGCTGATAAACTGACATGTAATTTATATATTAAATCTTATCTTATGAATTAGCATATTTCAGTGGTCAGTTTTTGTATGTACATGTTGTGGTTTTTCTAATGCCTTATTTCAATTTAAAATTAAGGTAAAATTTAAATATACTTTACCATATTTTTCATTACATTTATCTGTGAGTTTTGATGACATTTGAGGAAGTATCTGATGTACAGATTATAATTTAAATATGCCATGTTTTCTTAAATTTGTTTTTTATGCTTAAAATGTTATGTATAAATGATAATGCCTAATACAGAGCATTTTCATTTTTTGGATGGTCTAATAACTTTGTTTTTGTTTTGAAAAGATACCCTAGAGCAGTTACAACATGAGTGTTAAAGCACACATTACCAGAGGTAGGAACACACACATGTAGAAATGTTGAAAGAAGCATTTGTAATGTTTAGGACTTTGCCTCTGGAAACTAAAAATAGAATCCAGTAGTGTTATTATTGACAGAATGACATGTGCAAAATTTCTCATGTGGGCAACCAGTGTATTTGTCCCGTGACAGTTTAATTAAAGATATACATTGAAAATAACAGGACCCAAAATGATACAAGATTTTTTCTTTCAACATTAAAGTTTTTAAAAAAGGCTTTATTTAGAATTTGATTTTGTGAAGTTTATTAAAAAAATATTAAAGGTTTAAAATATTTGACCAAAATATCACAAATCACTGTAAGCAATAGTAATTTAGGTGATAAAGTCTTCAAAGGCAAATACAGACAATACATAGATAAAGAAAAAATGTAGCTTGTTAACTGAGAAGATTGAGTTTTCTTACATAATTAAAGGCTTAAAAAAAAACAACATGAAGTTCAGAGAATCATCTGGATAAAACAACTATTTCTGTTGTCCAAGGCCAGTTTTCTTAAAGGTAAAGAAAAATCTCTTATTCCAAGAAAACTTTGTTTTAACACAGAACTAAAGTTCAGTTTTGTCACCGAACTTTTGATAATGATGCCCAGTTTTAGAAAAACATCACTTTCTGATTTTGGGCAGCATGGTTATACAGTTTTTTTCCACAGAGTTCATTTCTCACCAGTGTCATACATCCTTTTAAAAATTCCTTAAGTTACTTGTTTTATACTTTCCCTCTGTGTCATTTTGGAACAGCCACACATTCTACTATAGGACAAATGTTACTATTCCTCATAACAAAAACATACCTTTCATTTAAGTTTAATTTACCAAAAATATGTCATACTTTCATCATATATGGGGTTGTTTTAATTCTAATGTTAATTAGAATTTTATTCCTAGTAACCATAACTTGTATTGAAAAACCTCAAAGTGATTTTTAATTTGTCATATGTCAGCATTTTATTAAAACAGAGTTCTTTATTTCTAAAAATGTGGAAGTTTTCTCCATGTAGAAACTCACTTTTTTTTCCCTGTCTTTTTGGTGATGGATGTCAAACTCTCTCTTGATCCCTCAGGGGGTTCTTTATCCCTGAATTAAATCCCCAGCCCTAGTTTTTTTTCATTTGAAACAAAGTACATTACTGACAAATACACAGTCCACCAAAAAAATATATACACACTTTAGGAAAGAGAAATAGTATGTTTTTTTTTTTTTCAAAAGATGATATTACCCTTGTATGGAGAATCCTAGAGGATATAATGTTACAGAAAACCTGCTACACTGCCATTCCATAGAGAACAAATTGAAAATGCATGTGTAGCATCTCAATGACCAAGGTTACCCAAGCAGCAGCTTGCCATACTAATAAATGTTTGGAAGCTAATGGCCACCATTTTGAGCACCTCTTGTTATTGTAGAGGCCAAAGGTAATTTGTATTGATCTCAAGATCTTTCAGTAAATTTAATATTAAAATATTTATACAAGTTTTCTTTTATCATGGTGTCTCTACTTCTTTGTCTGATTCTGTATTTTTATCTTTAAATAACATTTAAGAGAGCCAAAAGTAGTATCAACTTTGGTACAGCAATTAGTGTTGTATTTTATTGTATTTGGAAATGCTCTAGATTTCAGTAAATAGCTATCATTTGTTTTTCTTCTCATTGAGTTTATTGGTACATTTTAGGTATACAGTACAGTTACATTCATCATTGGGATCTTGTACCTTTACATGATAGGTCTTGGTTCTCATTTTTTTCCCTTAACCCCTGCCCTCCCTTCACCCCCCTCCTCTCTTCCATATTTACAAATACTTTATTTCTATTTTTTCATTTTCTCATTGTTTTTTGTTTTCCCTTATTTCCTTTCCCCTACCCTTCCCACTTCGCCTACACAGTTAGCCCTTTTCTTCCTATTTCACATTGTCAATTATACCATTAGGATCTTTTGGACCATTATAGTTTTTACACCAGAGAAGCGATTTGGTATTTATACATATGTGACTTATTTATTTCACTGAGGAGTTTATCCTCAATATGTATCCATTTTCCTATGAATGACTAATTAATCATTCTTTATGGCTGAGAGGTATTCCATTTTATAGGAAAACTACTTCTTTATCGAGTCTCCAACTATTGGGCAAATGGGCTGTTTGACGTTTTAGGTATTACATACTGTGCCGCTATAAACATAGGTGTACATATGTCACTGTGATATGATTCTTTTAATTCTTTTGGAAAGATACCCAGAAGAGGGATGACTGGGTCAAATGGAACCTCTAGTCCCAGCTCTTTCAGGTATCTCCATATTGATTTCCATAGTGGTTGCACCATTCTGCACTCCCACCAACAATGGAGAAGGATTCCTTTCTCCCCACAACCCCGCCAACATTTGTTATTGTGCGATTTCTTGATAGCAGCCATTCTTTGTGGCGTGAGGTGGAATCTCAGTGTTGTTTTCATCTGCATCTATCGAATGACCAGTGATGTGCAACATTTTTTCATATGTTTACTTGCTGCTTTTACTTCTTTGTCTGAGAAATGTCTGTTCATTTCAGATGCCCATTTTTGAATTGGGTCTTTATATTTGGTGGGGCTGATTGTTTTTGAGTTCTTTATATATTCTAGATAATAGTCCTTCCTTTGAGGAGCATCTGGTAAAAATTTTTCCCACATTGTAGGTTATCTCTTAGTTCTGTTGATGGTTTCTTTTGCAGTGCAGAAGCTTTTTAATAAGATGAGATCCCAGTTGTTGATTCTTTCTGCTAGTTCCCGTGCTACTGGGGATGTGTTCTTAAAGTCTTTTCCTATGCCAATGTCTTCCAGAGTTCTAACTTATCTTCCAGTAAGTTTAGTGTTTCTGTTTTAATATTTAGATCTTTAATGCACTTGGATTTTAGTTTAGTGCATGGTGAAAGATAAGGTTACAATTTTAATCTTTGGCAGGTTTTCCAAAGATTATCCAGTTTTCCAACACTATTTTTTGAAGAGGCTGTCTTTCCTCCACTGAGGCTGGTCAGCTCCCTTTGTCAAAAATGAGGTAGCTGAGTACATCTGGAATTGTTTTTGTGTCTTCCAATCTGGTCCACTGATGCTCAGGCCTGTTTCTTTGCCAGTACCATGTTGTTTTTGTCACAGTGGCTTTGTAGTATAGTTTCAAATTGGGAGTTGTTATACCTGCTGCCATGTGTCTGTTGCCTAGGATGGCTTTTGCTGTTCTAGGTCTCTTATGGTTCCAAATGAATTTTTGGATTCTTTTTTTCTAGTTCTGTGAAATATAGTGTTGGAATTTCAATTGGCATTGCATGGAATCTGTATAGCAGTTTTGGAAGTATGGCCATTTTCACTATGTTGATTCTTCCTACCCAGGAGCAGGGGATATTTTTCCTTTTTCTTATGTCCTCTTCAGTCTCTTTTTTCAGAGTGCTGTAGTTTTCAGTGTAGAGGTCTTTTTCTTCTTTCATTAGATTGATTCCTAGATTCTTCATTTTTTTGGATACTATTGTGAAAGGAATTTTTCCCTAATTTCTCCCTCAGTGAGTGTTGTTTGTGTACAAGAAGGCTAATGATTTTTGTTTTGTTTTGTTTTTTTAAGACAGGGTCTCACTGTATAGTTGAGGCTGACCTGGAACTCACTATATAGCCCAGGCTGGTCTCGAACTCACAGCAATCCTCCTGCCTCAGCCTCCTGAGTGCTGGGATTACAGGCTTGCACCCACCATGCCCAACCTAAGGCTATTGATTTTTGAGTGTTGACCTTGTGTCCAGCTACTCTGCTAAAAATGTCAAGTTTAGAAGTCTTTTGGTGGAATTTTTTGGGTCTTCAATGTAGAGTATCATATATTCAGCAAATAATGACAGTTTAATTTCTTCCTTTCCTATCTTTATTGCTTTAATATCTTTCTCATGTCTAATTGCTGTGGCTAATGTTTCCAGAACTATATTGAAGAGGAGTGGTGATAGTGGGCAACCTTGTCTTGTTCCTGATTTTAACATTAAGGTTTTCAGTTTTTGGCCATTTAATTTGGTGTTGACTGTTGGTTTTTCGTAGCCTTTATTAAGTTGAGATATAGACCGTCTATTCCAATTTTTTGCAGGATTTTTATCATGAATGGGTTTTGAATTTTTTCCAATGCTTTTTCTGCATCTATCAAGAGGATCCTATGGTTTTTGTCCTTGACTTTATTAATTTAGTGTATTACATTTATT